GAATGCTCAACCTCACTAATCATCAGGGAGATGCAAATCAAACCACACTGAGATACCACCTAACTCCAGTCAGAATGGCAATTATCAACAACTCAAAAAATAACAGCTGCTGGAGAGGGTGTGGTGAAAAGGGAACACTTCTACACTGTTGGTGGGAGTGTAAACTAGTGCAACCTCTGTGGAAAGCAGTGTGGCGATTCCTAAAAGCTCTAAAAATTGACCTTCCATATGACCCTGCAATCCCCCTACTGGGAATATACCCTGAAGAACACAAATCACTCTATAAAAAAGATACCTGCACACGTATGTTTATCGCAGCGTTGTTCACAATAGCAAGAACCTGGAAACAACCATGCTGCCCATCAAAAGCGGACTGGATTAAAAAATGTGGTACATATACACGATGGAATACTACGCAGCCATAAAAAAGAACAAAATCATGAATTTCGCTGCAACCTGGATGGAACTAGAGTCTATAATACTGAGTGACCTCTCACAAAAACAAAGATCCGAATATCACATGTTCTCACTCATATAATGGACCTTGAACATCCAATGCAATACTATAAGAAAATGACTGATGGTACTGGGAAACTATGGGGGGGAGGGGGATGGGATTAACAGTAGCAAATATCTGTCGGGGGATGGGAAAACACTTCTTATCTACAGGGTGCCTGAATGAAACGTCATTGTACACCTAACCCTTAACTGTACCCCACAAAACCATAATAAAAAATACTGATTAATGGAAAAAAAAGTATAATCAATAAAAATTAAAACCTTAAACCTTTCACCTCAGTAAAGATAAGCTATGCCTCCCTTACATACAGTTCTTCTTACTTATACATCTCAAAAATATTTCTGTTAAAATACATTTTTAACACTATATTTTACAAAATGTTATCTTGCTGGGAGGGAAAAACAACTAAGACTAGTTTTTTTATTATAGTTTATGGAATTGTATTGCTTATAAACATTTTCTTCAATGATATTCATGCATACCTGCCAAAAAGCATAAATTATAAAAGCATTAAAGAAACTATGCTATGTTTTAAAAAACAAGGAGCTCTTTCAGAGCAAGCCTGGCTGAGCAGCTTGCCATAGTAGGAAAGCTAATTAATTGCTTATTTTGCCCTTCGGAAAGTCACTTACCCTTTCTAATCTTGATTGTTAAGATCATTGCCTTTTGGTGTCTCAATCAGAGTTATTTTGAAAGTCAGGATGGATTGATGGCTGATCTTTTGTGACTTACAGCCAACCCTTAGGGAAATTTCAGGAGTGTGATAGGAGGGGTGTCCTTTCCATTCTCAAGTTGTTATGTGTTCTCTGGAGTCCAGGTAACTGTCAAGCTGGTTTCAGTATTTCTTGAGTAGAAATTTTGCTCAGTCATCATTAAAGGCAGATATTGAATAGAGTATATAAAAACAGTAGGTGGAAAGTATACGTTGTTTTCCCTATCAACTTAATTATTGAGAGAACATTTTTTTCACTTGGAAAAAAAGGAAATGTTACCTTAGCCAAACCTTCATTAACCTTAGTCTTTGCCCTTTTGTGCCCAACCACAGATTTCTTTATTGTTAGTTTTTGCTGAGATAATATTTATTAAGCAAACAATAATTACTTATTATGCTTGAGGGCACTGTAAACATTTTATTTCTACTTTTTAACCTGTGTAGGCCTATCAATAGAAGTAAATAAAACAAGCCTTCTCAGACCCTGAGTTAGACAGATCTGAGTTAGACCCTGTGTGATAGACACTTAAAAAGTCGTGTTCTTAACACTTTTTATTTTTTAGAACATGCGGCTTTATTATGTTTTCATGGACATAATTAACCTCTCTCCTGTGCTTAAAAATGTTCAACCAGGCTGGGCTCAGTGGCTCAGCCTGTAATCCTAGCGTTTTGGGAGGCCAAGGTGAGAGGATTACCTGAGACCTCGTGTCTACAATAAATCAAAAAATTAACCAGATGTGGTAGCATGCATCTGTAGTTCTGGCTACTTGGAAGGCTGAGGCGGAAGAATCGCCTGAGCCCAGCAGGTTGAGGCTGTGGTAGCCATGAGCATGCCACTGCACTCCAGCCTGGGTGACGGAGTAAGACTCCAACTCCAAAAAAAAAAATTGTTCAACCAGTTTTAGAAGAGGATTTAGTAGGAAATTTGTCATTGAGTCAGCATGAATTCATCACCACTTCTGAAAAAAAATTACTGCTTAGAATAGGTATCCCACAAAATTATAGAGTAGCATCTTTGTATGTGAAAATGAATACTTTAAAAATTTAGTAGCTAACTGAATGGGAATTTAGAGGTTTAGCTTAAGATCTTATAAACCTGGCTACATGTCAGAATCACCCCAGAGATTCTGATGCAAAGGTCAAGAATAGGGCCCAATGCTCTTTCTAAAATAAATGCCCCAGGGTAATTTTGACACAGCCAGTCAAGTGTTAAGAAATGACTTTCTTAATTTACTGTTTAAGACTAAACATAGCACTGGAGGAAATAAAATTCTGGGTATTTTCATAGTTTCAAGACTAAGCATGCTTTTCAAGATAGCTAAGTGTCCAATCAAATCAAATAATATTTTGTTCCAAAAATTATGCAACAAAAAAAATCTCATCTTATTTTGTCTTTCCATGTGAAGAATTTGGAAAAGCAAGCAAAAAAACGTTAAATGCATCATAATGGGATTTTGTATGTAATTTGTTGCACCTTCATGAAATAATATTAAGTATGGGGGCAAAGCTTTGAAAAAACAGAAGGTGTGTTTATTTTGCTTCCTTTCTATGTCCTTTTAACTCTACTAGGCATCCGGGGAGAATTCAGTAAATCACTGGTAATGAAGACAATGGACTAGTTTTAAATCCAGTTCAGTTACTTAGAACATGCCTATCTGGAAATGACAGGTCTACAATTATGGGCACCACCGATTTTTCCTTATCCTTTCTGCTTGCTAATAGACCTCTAATCTGGGGAAGCTTCTCTCCATTAAAGCAATACTTGTTACCATAAGTGTTTACATCCATTATGAATAGTCTCTTAACTTTTAAAACTTTGTGTATACAATTGCTCATTTTCTTATACTTTTTATTCCACAAGTAAATGCTAATAAGAGCTTATTTTTTAAAAGGTTAATTTACATAAAATATGTTCTTTGACTAGTATGAAGTACTCCTTTGTGTACAAGATCATGATGATCCAGCCATTGATGTATGTAAGAAGCTTCTCGGGAAGTATCCAAATGTTGATGCTAGATTATTTATAGGTAAGTAACAAATTCTATACTACCATTTTGCTGTGATAGTGTTAAGTATCAGCAATATTCTCTGCATTAAACTATAGATTAAGGTGTTACCATGTTTGCTTTAATAAAGCATGTTTGTTGAAGTAATGAAAGGTTTTACATCTTTTTGAGAAAAGTTATTAAAACAAAGGTTTTGAAAAAATGTATCTGCTATTAACAAATAACACAAAAACTATACTTATCAATCAGACATGAGTCTATTATTTTTGTTTCTTTAGTATTTTGAGTGTGTGCCTTTTCTGTTTCTCATTGACTATAATTGGGAGTGAGCAATAGAATTCACTTTTATTATGTTGCAAAAAGAGTATTTTTCCAAAAGCCTATAGGCATATTCTAAAGACTTGTAGAAGTGTATTTGCCATTAAATTTTTTTTTCAAATAGAGGCCTGGTGTGATCTCTCTTTAAAAATAAAAGTGATATGAGGTGTTTGCTATTTGAAGATAGGGTAATGATTTAAATTTTTTATTAGCTTAAAATACAAATTTGAAATTAATATATGAAGCACTCCTATGAATTAATCAGAACCATTACATATCTATCAACTCAGGGTCGGAGATTATGTTCGTTCCTCACATTTGCTATCTTAAATTATTTACTAGCCAGGCACAGTGGCTCATGCAGCACTTTGGGACACCAAGGCAAGAGGATTGCCTGAGCCCAGGAGTTTGAGATCAGTCTGGGCAGCATAGCAAGACCTTATCTTTATAAAAAATAGCCAGGGTGGTGGTGTGCACCTGTAGTCTCAGCTGCTTGGGAGGCTGATGTGGAAGGATCACCTGGGCCAAGGAGGTTGAGGCTGCGGTGAGCAGTGATCGTGCCTCTGCACTCCATCCTGGGCAACAGAGTGAGATTTCAACTAAAAAAAAAAAATTATGTATATATATATGTATTTCTATATATACACACACATATGTTTTTCAGTGCACAAATCTCTGTTAAATATAATATAATCTCACCCAACTGGTTAATTTCTTTATGCTGTTTCAATTATCACAGTTTAAAAATTATTCCTATAATCATTTTTTAAATTAACAAAATTTTTACGTATTTATGGTGTACAACATGTTTTCAAATACATACACATTGTTGAATGGCTAAATCAAGTTAATTAACATATGCATTACCTTACATATTTATTTGAGGTGAGAAATCTACTCTCAGCAGTTTTTAAGTATACAATACAGTGTTGAATATTCTCTCATATGTTTATCATTTAGTTGTGGTGAAAAACCTCAGCAATTTTCTTTTTTTCTTTTTTGAGTTGGAGTCACTCTGTCGCCCAGACTGGAGTGCAGTGGCCGCTCCCGGCCACCGCAGCCTTGACCTGCTGGGCTCCGGCGATCCTTCCACCTCAGCCTTCCAAGTAGCCGGAATTACAGGCACGCGCTACCACACCCAGCTAATTTTTTGATTTATTGTAGAGATGAGGTCTCGCTGCCCAGGCAGGTCTCAAACCTGCGGGCTCAAGCAATCCACTTACCTCAGCCAAAGGCGCAGGATTACAGGCTGAGTCACTAAGCCCGGCTAGCAATTTTCAAGTCTGCAATAACACTGTTATTAACTATAGTCACCATGTTGTACAATTGCCATTAAATATTGATTGATTCTTAACTATTATTGCAAGAACTAAAGAATTAGAAAAGCTGAAACAGTGAATTTCAAAGATAAGTGACGTAATTCTCCTTTTGAGAATGAACAGTTTTTTTGTAAAAATGCATAGTATTAATAATAGGGGAAAAGTAATGTGAAAGCGTGCTCATTTAAGTTTTTAAATATGCCAATACTTTTCACTTCTCTCCATCATGAATCTGTACTAGAAAGTATTTTTAATGTTACATGAGTCTTTTACTATTGTATTATTACATTTTTAGGTGGCAAGAAGGTTGGCATTAATCCTAAAATTAATAACTTAATGCCAGGATATGAAGTTGCAAAGTATGATCTTATATGGATTTGTGATAGTGGAATAAGAGGTGAGGTTTTCTTATTTATTTTGTAAAACTATTTGATGACAAAATGCTAAAAGCAATCTGAAAGTATATTTATCAATCCTTTCTGTTTGCCTAAAAGAGTAATTTGTTTTATCATTATTTCATGGCAATATTTCCAGTTATGCTTACTAAGATTTTGGATTTTTTTATCCTAACTTAGAATGTCACATGATAAAAATATTTTCATTTTGAAGGGAAAATTCCCACCATTAAAGAAAAAAATAGTCCTGTTATGTTATACATTCTACAAGCTTTCTCATGTGTGTAACTTTTCCAGTTTGTGTGACACTTATGTTCAACGGGTTTGGGCAAACAGAGGCAGAAATTAATAGGTGCATATTTTACTAAACTATATGCATTTATTGGAATATATACATGGCTTTTTACTTCAATGATTTTAGTAAGAAGCCTTTTATATCTTGAAATTACAGTTTGCATTTTTAAACATTTATAACTTTCAATATTCTGTAATATTTTGTTATATTCAAATTACCTTAAGTTTCTCAACCTTAACACTGTTGACATTTTGGGCTTGATAATTTTTTGTTGTGGGAGCTGTCCTGTTGGTTGTTTAGTAGCATCCCTGACCTCTACCTCCCTGCAGTTGTAACTGCCAGTAACACCCCCTCCTCAGTTGTAGCAACCAAAAATGTCTTCAGAGCCAGGCTTGATGGCTTAGCCTGTAATCCCGCACCTTTGGGGAGGCTGAGGTGAGTGGATTGCCTGAGCCCGCGGGTTCAAGACCCGTCTCGGCAACTTGGCAAGCCCTCATCTCTACAATAAACCAAAAACTAGCTGGGCGTGGTGGCACGTGCCTGTAGTTCCAGCTACTTGGAAGGCTGAGGCGGAAGGATCGCCGGAGCCCAGCAGGTTGAGGCTGCATGGTGGCTGTGAGCATGCCATTGCACTCCAGCCTGGGCGACAGAGTGAGACTCCAACTCAGAAAAAAAAGAAAATAGTGCAGCCACTGCCTTGCTAAGCTATGGTGTAACTATGTGCTCTTTGCACTATGACCAGGCCATGTTTCCTGGCTTTGGCCCCCTCCCCTACCTTGAGGAGGTGATTATCCTCTTTCTCTCTCTCAAATTTGCTTTCTAAATAAACTATATTTTCTAATCCTAAAAAAATAAAGAAAGAAAATAGGACAATGTTATAAATATTTATATTAGCCTAAAATGTAAACTTCAAATAAATAGAAGTGTAACACTCCTACAAATTAATCAGAGATATTACACATCGATCAACAACACATGGCCAGAGATTATGTTCATTCTTCCCATTTGCTAACTTATTTGCTATTGTATATTTGTTATGTTTTTCAGCATACAGATTTCTGTTAAATATAATCACATTCCTTTCCTGTTAGCAATTCTAAGAAATTGGATATACTTATACCCACAGAGAAAGTAGCAGCTCATCTCCAATGGTTGGAGAATAGGGAAGCCAGCACAGGCACTGAGTTCCTTTGACCCCTGTCTGCTCCTGAAACTTTTCGCATAGGACACATTATCCTTATTCAAATTTGGAAGTTCTGACATGGGGGGGTAACATTTTCAAGGTATAGCCTGCCTCTGATACATATTAGATATATACTGAGCTAAAAATGTATAGAATAAATCAGCTTTTCATAAATTATGCCTTTTTGAAATTTTGTATTCTATGCGGAAAGGTGGTTGTGATTCATTTTATTAGATCCAAATGTTTAAAAGAATTTACCTTTATTAATAATTCAATAACAATTCACAAAATACTTTACATTAGTGGACCTTTGCTAAAAGGAAATTTTTTTCTCTCTCCCTCCCCACCTTTTGTTTTTTTGTTTTTGTTTTTTGTAGTAATTCCAGACACACTTACTGACATGGTTAATCAAATGACAGAAAAAGTAGGCTTGGTTCATGGGCTGCCTTACGTAGCAGACAGACAGGGCTTTGCTGCCACATTAGAACAGGTAAGTATGGTAGTTATAAATAATACTCATGTTATCAGATCCCTGATCTGCCCAAAGCTTGAGACTACTAAAGTTGTTCTAAGTCTGAGAATTGGGACTAGCTATCTGAAGTTAATGGTATAAAGTCCATTTGGGAAACTACTGTGTTCTAGAATCCTCAAGTTGAGAGCAACTGTTTTCGTTAGTGAAGAAATTCTTAGGCCTCTAACTGCACTCTGGCAGTGAACACCTGTGCCCGGGAACTGTCTTGTGATCTTCTTGCCAGCTGAACACAGTATATTCTTTTTCCTTATTGTGCTCACATTCAGTTCCAGAGTTCAGTTCTAGACCACAGTGTTCTTTCAAATACTCAATCTGAAAAGAACCTTTCTAAAATACCATGAAAAGGCTAGGCGAGGTGACTCAAGCCTGTAGTCCCAATACTTTGGGAGGCTGAGGTGAGAAGATTGCCTGAGCCCATGAGTTCGAGAACAGCCTGGGCAACTTGGCAAGACCTTGTCTCTACAAAAAGTCAAAAAATTAACCGGGCATGGTAGCACATGCCTGTAGTTCTGGCTACTTGGAAGACTGAGGTGGAAGAATCGCCTGAGACCAGCAGGTCAACCCTAGAGTGGCAGTGAGCGTACCATTGCACTCCAGCCTGGGCGACAGAGTGAGACTCCAACTCAAAAAAAAAAAATCACAAAATATTTCAAATATACAAAAAAAGAAACTTGCTCATATGTTATTATAAAATCCATTTAATTTCTTTTTAAATCAGATTTCTGATAAATATCTGAGAGATTTATTTTATGTTTTCCCTTGGTGTCTTCTCTTCAACTTAAAAATAATAACTTGTTCTGGCTACTCAGAAGTCTGAGGTGAAAGGATAGCCAGAGCCCAGCAAGTCATCGCTGGGGTGGCCAAGAGTGTGCCACTGCACTCCAGCCCGGGTGACAGAGTGAGACTCTAACTCAAAATAATAATAATAAATATAACTTGTTGCTGGGCACGGTGGCTCATGCCTGTAATCCCAGCACTTTGGAAGGTGGAGGCCAGAGGATTGCCTGAGCCCACGGGTTTGAGACTAGCCTGGGCAATTTGGCGAGACCTCATCTCTATAATAAATCAAAAAATTAACTGGGTATGGTGACATGCACCTGTGGTTCCAGCTACTTGGAAGACTGAGGCAGAAGGATTGTTTGAGCCCGCCAGGTCAAGGCTACAGTGATCAGGAGCATGCCACTGCACTCCAGCCTGGGTGACAGAGTGAGACTCCGACTCAAAATAATGATAATAATAATAATAACAACAACTTGTATGTAGGAAACTACAAATTATGGGAAAGCATCAGAAGCAAAAAATAAGTGAAAATAAAACCTATAACCCTACCAATTAGAGGAAGTTTCTATATTTACAAATTAAAGTGTGTTTGTTTTTGTTTTAGCATTTTTGGCACTTTGGATTCTATTGTTTTGATATGAGCCTTCTAAAAAACATAGTTGAGATAGTACCCTAAAAGCTATTTGTATCTTATTTTTGTCACCGCTTAAACTTTTCCCACATCATTAATAACTTTTCACAAAAGTAATTTTTATTGACTGTATTATAATCTTTCTTATGTATGTCCCATACTTAATCATTCCTGTACTGTTAAACATTTAGGTGGAAAAACTTGTCTTAATGTTGTAAACGAAAGATACATGGTTTCAGTCTAAATATAACTGCTTGCTCCTAATCATATTCTACACTTAATACGCTTTTGAATTGCGTTTTATGATTGCCACAGATCTGGAGAGTTAAAAGTACATTGTGGGGACTTACATTTGACCTTTGGCAGTTTGAACAGTGAGCTTTCTTAATACTGCCTATGAATATATTTTTCCTACTGCAAGAAATCGTAGGTTTTAAAAGCACACAGTCCTAAATGTCATAATTTCAAATATTATAATCCCAAAGATTAAAATCCCTGATATCTAAAATTCCACAAATCACAGTCCTAAAAGATCAAAATCCCAAAACTGTAATTCTGGAAAAAGTAATTAAAAATTTTTTAAAGTCTGGGCACAGTGACGCATGCCTGAAGTCAGTCCCAGCACTTTGGGAGGCCAAGGCAGGAGGATTGCTTGGGCCCAGGAGTTCAAGACCAGCCTAGGCAACATAGTGAGACCTCATCTCTAAAAAAAAATTTGAAAAAAGATTAACCAGGCATGGTAGTGCATGCCTGTAGTCCCAGCTACGCAGGAAACTTAGGCTGGAGGATCACTTGGGTCCAGAAGTTTGAGACTGTGGTAGGCCGTGAGCATGCGATTGCACTCTAGCTGGATTGACAAGGTGAGACCCTGACTCAAAAAAAAAGAAAAACAAAATTGGGAAAATTGGCAGGAATCTCAGTGACTTAGGGTCAGAGAGCATTGAAAGAAAACAAGAAAAGGAACAGGATTGTCATGAAGGATGATATAACTATGGATTGTTTGTGTATGCATGCATATATACACAAATATACATACATACAAATATATATGTAGATCTATTGATCCAAATAAAATAAGTAGGAGCATGTATTTGTATTTACATGAACATCCTAAAAATAGGATACATTAAAAATATTTGTTAATATTTTATATGTTAATAAGGGATATTTTAGCTGGGCTCGGTGGCTCAGCCTGTAATCCCAGCACTTTGGGAGGCCGAGGTGAGTGGATTGCCTGAGCCCACGGGTTCAAGACCCGCCTGGGCAACTTGGCGAGACCTCATCTTTACAATCAAAAAATTAGTTGGACGTGGTAGCGCGCACTTGTAGTTCCAGCTACTTGGAAGGCTGAGGTGGAAGGATCGCCGGAGCCCAGCAGGTCGAGGCTGCAGTGGCCAGGAGCGGCCACTGCACTCCAGTCTGGGTGACAGAGTGAGACTCCAACTCAAAAAAATGAATAAATAAATAAGGGATATTTTTACATGTATCCAAATTTAGTTTTATTTGGACAAGTCTTTAAATTACTGACTGCTTATGATATATAAACACTATTGTGTACCACTTTTTGTTCGTATAGTTTATGTAAGAATAATAGAATATTCACTCAATCATATTTTTAAAAAAATCATTAGGAAAAACAGTGTATAAACATCATACTTTTAACATAAAATTCTAATTGTTTATATCTGTGTTTTTTGGGCCAGGTGTATTTTGGAACTTCACATCCAAGATATTACATCTCTGCCAATGTAACTGGTTTCAAATGTGTAACAGGAATGTCTTGTTTAATGAGAAAGGATGTGTTAGATCAAGCAGGAGGGCTTATAGCTTTTGCTCAGTACATTGCTGAAGATTACTTTATGGCCAAAGCAATAGCAGACCGGTAAGAAAACTAAATTAAGCCATAGTATTTTTATTACCTAACTTCTGTTGATTTACTCTCTTCGTTCAACCAATGGATTCGGGCTTATTTTATTTTTTTACTAGAGAGTATAGAATAGGCCAATAATTGTAGAAAGTGATTCATATTCTAATTACACAATTGTAGACAGGAACTAATGAAACAAGTATATGTTCTAAATCCTCTAATTCTTCAAATTAAGTTGTTTTAAAGTGATTAAAAGGAGGCTTCTCTGTGATTGTGAATTTTCATTAGTATTGATACAAATTTCTGTGTGTTTTAGAAGAATTAAAACTATCAGTGCACTCATAAGCCAGGAGGTGAAAATTTAAAGACTTGCATTTCACAATTTGAAATCTCTTGGTAAATTATTTGATGCTTTGCTGACAAGCTACCTCAAGATTCATATGAATGACTTAGCATTTCTCTATCACAAAATACTTGTTTCATTTTAAAGGGAGTCATTGCCTTGTATGATTATCTATTTAAAGTGTGATTTTAAAAGTTGAAGTGTATTTTTAAAATCCTCTCATGATGGTGTTCATGCGGTTTGTTTTCGGGGGGCTTTTTTTGGCGAGTAGTCCTCAGAGGCCAAACTATTAAATATAGAACCTTCTTCATTTAGTAGTTTCAGAATGAATGCATTCTCAGTTTCTTAAATTGTCGATTAAGGAGGTTTTCTTCTAGCTTTCAGATGGTCATGAGTCAATGTAATTGCTAAAACATCCAGAAGAATGATATGCTTTAAGTAATGGGCTAATCCTGATGACTGGTCAGCAGTTGCTTAGTCTTCATAGTGATTAATAAATGTGTAGCCAGTCATACTTGCATGTGTTCATCATCGTAGCTTATTTTATGATTATCTCAATTTTCAGAGGTTGGAGGTTTTCCATGTCCACGCAAGTTGCGATGCAAAACTCTGGCTCGTATTCAATTTCTCAATTTCAATCCAGAATGATCAGGTAAATCACCTGTATTCTTTTTATATTTCATGAAAAGAAGGGAGGAGGGGGGTTCACATGGTCTAACGTGGTTTAAAAAATGCACCTAAAGGTCAGATTTTTGTTTGTTTCCAGAAAAGTCTGACTTTTGTATTAAATTTAATGTCTAAATATATTTTCTTTTGCTTTGTAACACTGAAAGCATTCAAAAAAGAGATGTTGAGACTTTTTTAAAAATATGCTAATCTATTTTCTACCTTTCTACACTTGGGTTAAGTTTTATAGTCTATGTTCGTCAGAGTATAAGCCATACAAATGATTTTGTAGACATTTTTTCTTTAATATACTAAAAAAATAGAAATTCATTTAAAAAAATTTTTAAAGAGTAGGTCCTTTATATGACAAAGTAAAAAGTTAGTTCTTTTGGGGGAAAAAAATTGTTTAACCTTACAGCCAGGCTATTATTTTAAAGAAAATCCATTTTATGTTTCAGGTGGACCAAATTGCGAATAAACATGCTTCCTGCTACAATCATTTGTGAGCCAATTTCAGAATGCTTTGTTGCCAGCTTAATTATTGGATGGGCAGCCCACCATGTATTCAGATGGGATATTATGGTATTTTTCATGTGTCATTGCCTGGCATGGTTTATATTTGACTACATTCAACTCAGGGGTGTCCAGGTATGTGGATAGGCATGAAAAGGTTGACAGTCGTTTGTGAAACTAAAACTATTTTAATTTAGAAAAGGTTGAAGAAAATCTATCTGAGCTATTCTTCAACTCCTCATTGAAGCCTAATATCAGGTTTAAACATTACTTTTGGTAGTAGATTGTTGACACAAAACGTAACTCAATTTGCAACTTTCAGTTGGTTACATAATCACTTTTATTAAGGCTCCAAAAACATGTTAAGCAAGCCAACAAATGTTCAGACTAAGAACACATTAGGATAGCAGTTATTTGAATGCTACTTCTAATAATAATTAGTATTCTCTTAAACAATATGGCATGGCAATTAAATTACCTCAGGAAGCAGACTTATGTAGTATACTTAGAAAAGTGAAATCCAAGAATTTAATTTTTTAATCATGTCTTTAATCCGATAGTAAGTAAATTAAACTTTTTTTTTTTTAATTCCTAGGGGGGCACACTGTGTTTCTCAAAACTTGATTATGCCGTTGCTTGGTTCATCCGAGAATCTATGACAATATATATTTTTTTGTCGGCATTATGGGACCCTACTATAAGCTGGAGAACTGGTCGCTACAGATTGCGCTGTGGGGGTACAGCAGAGGAAATCCTAGATGTATAACTACAGCTTTGTGACTGTATATAAAGGAAAAAAGAGAAGTATTATAAATTATGTTTGTATAAATGCTTTTAAAGTTCTACCTTCAGTAGTTTTATCACATGTATGTTTTGTTATCTGTTCTTTAATTTATTTTTGCATGGCACTTGCATCTGTGAAAAAAAAACACATCTGTAGTCTTGGCCAAATGATACACTTTATTTTGTGGAAGTAGAGAATCAAGAGAATTGGTTCTAGGAACCCGGTTTTGTTCTTTGTTGTTATTGTTTATTTTTTTAAATAAATAAATACATATATATGAATGCTCTGCAACAAACACTATGACAGTATCCTTTAGTAGAGAAAGTTTCTTATTTGTGAGTACGCCCTTTCAGAACATTTGTGGGCAGGATGGCAGAAGCTTTGTGTTGGGGTTTGGAAAAGACTAGAAGGCGATGATGACTCCTGTCCAAAGCGGGTGGGATGATGCAGTGTACAGCCCACAGTGAGGAACTCGCTGAGAAACTTTTTCATGCTTCATGCCTACCTCTTGTAGTTGTTGCAGAGCAAATATAAATTGTAATAAGGTAGCTAGGCCTTGCAGAAACAAACAGAAAAACAAAAATAATAATGAAAGCGCTGGAGTCTAGTATTTCTATGAATCTGTGAGAGATACTTTTTGGTCTCACTGCAATGAACCAAAAGTGACTGAGTTTGGTTTTTAATTGTAGCCGTGTATTGAAGGCATCTTTTTGACCAACTCTTGTTGGTTCTGTCTTGAACCATTGTTAATCACTGTGCTGTAATTAGCGTAGCTAAATCTTTTCCTTCCCTGCTTCTCCCCCAACCCACCCCATCTTTCCTTAACTTTTTTTCCAGGGGGCTTGGGAGTGGTTTTGTTTTAGTGTGAATGGATGTTTTGATAGTTGTAAGGAAAAATGCGTTTCAGACACATTTCACACATGAGCTATTTTCTTACACAGTATGTCTTATTGTTAATAAGAATGTAATTTCATGATACAGGTATTTAATATCTTTTTTAAGGAAGTAAATATTCTAGCCATCAATAAATAAATTGCAGTAGAGTATTAAGAGGGGGCAGGATGAGTTTACTCTTAAAAATAATCAGTATCAAACTAAGTCTACCATGTGTTTTTTTTTAACTATTATAGTCTAGTCTTATTTAAATTGGATTTTTGTACTCCAGTTTGTATGACAAAATAGACTAGATCAGTGCTAGTTGTCAGTGCATGCCACCCTCACGCTTCTTCCCCATCATGCCGCTAAACTTGCTTGTCAGGTTGTGCTTAACTTGTGGTGAACTGGACTTGTTTTTGCTTTTTAAAAAAAAAAAAAAAAAAAAAGCAAAAATGTAAGGGACAGTGCATAAGCCTTTCTTTCTTTTTTTTTTTTTTTCTTTTCTTTTTTTTGGTAGTAGTATTTCGCTTTCTCTTCGGGACTGGATGGCATGGACTTCTGCTGCAGGACTAACACTGGCAATATGGCAGCTTTACATTCTCAGTTACTCCAGTTTCCATGGCAAAGCATAATGTGTAGCATATTAGCAATAACTACATATTTATAGAAAACAAACACTTTTTACTGAGCCAATTCATTTAACTGTCTAATGACTACATACATGGTTTAAATTGCAATATGTCTATAAATAATGTTTAAGACACATTATGTTTAAGCTTTTCTCTGGGCCAAACTGCTTCATTCTTTTGTTTTGTTTTGGGGTTTTTTTTTGCCTTATGATGAATTTGTTTGAAGGGCATTTTCTTTATGAACAAAGGCTTGGATGCATATTCCTTTCTTTCCGTGAAATGGGTGGTATTGTTCCCTGAGGAAAGTTATACAGTGAAAACCAGTCTAGTTGTGACCCACTACATGTTTGTTTTTTTTTTTTATCACTATTTCATGAGTTGAATTTTGCTGACAGTATCTGTAATTTGTTAGTTTGTTTAATGAAGTTTGGTTGATGCCATCCGTTACACTGCTGAAGTGAAATCTTTTTATTACCTGGCGGGTTTTTGCTGATCTCAACATGAGCAATGTAACTACAAAACCAAAATGGCTGGACAGACTTCTTATATTTTGTAAATATAAAAGAAATGACTGTTCTGTATGTGTGTTTAATGTGGTAGTGGAGTATTTCCTTAAAGTGAAGCTTCACTTAAGCAGACAGAGTGATTTCTGTGTTTAGCAAGTTTGGAGTGATGATAAAATGGCAAGAAATAATACAAAATGTTAAAGAAAGCATCACAACAGAACTGTAGGAGTCCAAATTTAATAAACAGTCTAAGAAACCCAGTAAGTGTCTAGAATATACCATGTTTTATTATTTAAAATCATTGTCTTAAGTTTTTTGTTCAAAAAATAAAAATTTGAATACAATCAAAACAGTAGCAATAATGTATTTCTTGCTTATTCTCCTTTTACCTTATACTTTTATAAATAAGCTAACATGATCTGCCACTCATATCACAATTATTCAAAGAGTTCTGTCAAGTATGAATTTTGAAATCTTTTTACCTAAGCCACAGAGTGAGACCCCAACTCAAATTTTTAAAAAGTTCTAGAGCCGGGCTTGGTGGCTCAGCCTGTAATCCCGCGCCTTTGGGAGGCTGAGGTGAGTGGATTGCCTGAGCCCGTGGGCTCGAGACCCACCTGGGCAACGAGACCTCATCTCTACAATAAATCAAAAAATCAGCTGGGCGTGGTATCGCACGCCTGTAATTCCGGCTACTCGGAAGGCTGAGGCAGAAGGATCGCTGGAGCCCAGCAAGTCGAGGCTGCAGTGGCCAGGAGCGGCCACTGCACTCCAGTCTGGGCGACAGAGTGAGACTCCGACTCAAAAAAAAAAAAAAAGTTCTAGAGAACTAGATTCAAACCTGAAGAACCATAATGTAAATTACTATAAAGCTCATTTAAAGATGCTTCACATACATTATTGATAGAGAAGATTAGTACATACCACAAGACTGTATGACTTAAAGTAGGACTTTTCTGCATTGGTTGGTTATTGGAATCACCAGGAGTACTTGTAAAAAAAAAAAAATACATATGCTTGGGCCCTGCCCACAGAGATTTTGATTTAATCATTCTGGGTGAGGCCTGAACTCTGCTCATAATTCTACTGGGAGAATTATTGGCTCTTTTTTTTTCTTTTTTTGAGTCAGAATCTTACTCCATCGCCCAGGCTGGAGTGCGGTGGCACTCACGGCCACCCCAGCGTCAACCTGCTTGGCTCTGGCAATCATTCCACCTCAACCTTCCAAGTAGCTGGAATTACAGATGCACACCACCACGCCCGAATAATTTTTGATTTATTGTAGAGATGAGGTCTCACCAAGTTACCCAGGCTGGTCTTGAACCTGTGGGCTCAGGCAATCCTCTCACCTCGGCCTCCCAAAGTCCTGGGATTACAGGGTTGAGCCACCGTTCCCGGCCAGTTTGTATACTTCTAAACCTACAATTTAAGAAATGATCGACACAAAGTTTAGTAAGTCTGAGAACTTTATAGCTAAGTAAACCTCGAAGATCCCTTGGTCTTATTTTAGAGTGAGGAAGCTGAGACACTTTGATCACAAAGTTAGGTAGCCATGGCATTCGTGTTGACTGGGAGTAACCCCTATATTTATCAGATAGTGTGGTATGTTTCGCCACTGGATCACATTGTTTGAAGTTCTGCCTACCACAGCTTTAAAACTTATGAAAAAACATAAAAGTTTTTTTAAAAATCATACTTATTATAACAATCTGTATTCTCTTAAAAATTGTTCTAAAGGCCAGGCATGATGGCTAACGCCTATAATTCCAGCACTTTGGGAGGCCAAGGCTGGAGGATCACTGGAGTCCAGGAGCAGGCTAGGCAACATAATGAGATCTTGTCTCTCCAAAAAAAATTTTTTAAGTGGCTGTGGTGGTGCACACCTGTAGTTCCAGCTAGTCATGAGACTAAGGTGGATCATTTGAGCCCAGGAGGTCCAGGCTGTAGTGAGCCTCCAACCCGGGCAACCAAGTGAGACCCCAACTGGAAAAAAAAAAAAAAAAAAGATTCTGGAGAACCAGATTCAAACCTGCAAAACAAGAATGCAAATTACTATAAAGCTCATTTAAAGATGCTTTGCATACATTATTGACAGAGAAGATTAGTACATACCACAGGACTGTGCTCATGAGAATGAAAATAGTTCAGACATTCTGGAGTTTTTCAGGATCTAGTGGTTATTATGTATTCATTTCAAAGTATAGTTTATGACCCTATCAGTTCCATTATGGTGGAAAGAAAGCAAACATTGCAAAATAGCATATATCTCTACAGAACTGCAAGGATATGCTTTTTTTTTTTTTTTTTTTGAGTTGGAGTCTCACTGTCACCCAGACTGGAGTGCAGTGGCCGCTCCCAGTCACCGCAGACTCGACCTGCTGGGCTCCGGCCATCCTTCCGCCTCAGCCTTCTGAGTAGCTGGAACTACAGGCATGCGCTACCACACCCGGCTAACTTTTGGTTTTATTGTAGAGATGAGGTCTCACCAAGTTGCCCAGGCGAGTCTCGAACCCACGGGCTC